CGGGACTATCCGTCGAACCACTTCGCCATGGGCTGCCCCTGTGTTATTCACAGGGAAGAAGGACGGCAATCTGCGCCCTTGTTTTGATTACCGTAAGCTCAACGCCCTAACCGTCAAGAACAAATACCCACTACCGTTGACTATGGACTTAGTCAACAGTTTGCTGGATGCCGAAGACTTTACCAAGCTTGATATGCGCAATGCGTACGGTAATCTTCGAGTAGCAGAGGGTGATGAGGATAAACTGGCCTTTATATGCAAACAAGGCCAGTTTGCACCTCTGACTATGCCTTTTGGGCCAACAGGCGCCCCTGGTTATTTCCAATACTTTATTCAAGATATCTTATTGGGACGTATAGGTAAAGACACCGCGGCCTTCTTGGATGACATTATGATTTATACAAAGCCTAAAGTAGATCACGAAGGCGCTGTTGATGGCGTACTTGACGTCCTATCCAAGCATACACTCTGGCTGAAACCCGAAAAATGCGAGTTCTCGAAGAAGGAAATTGAATACCTTGGCCTTATTATCTCTAAGAATAAAATCAGAATGGACCCGACGAAAGTGAAAGCCGTCAAAGAATGGCCAGCACCCCAATCAGTATCTGAACTCCAACGCTTCATTGGATTCGCCAATTTTTACCGACGTTTCATCGACCAATTTTCAAGAACCACAAGACCACTTCATAATCTGACCAAGCTCAACGCGCACTATGTCTGGGATGAAAAATGCGAAAAAGCCTTTGAGAGCCTGAAGACCTCCTTCACCACCGCACCCGTACTGAAGATAGCCGATCCATACAAGCCGTTTACTCTGGAATGTGACTGCTCCGATTTTGCATTAGGAGCAGTGCTATCACAACGCAGCGAGGACGATGGAGAACTCCACCCAGTAGCTTACCTGTCCAGATCACTAGTCCAAGCTGAAAGGAACTACGAGATCTTTGATAAGGAACTACTGGCGATTGTCGCGTCTTTCAAAGAGTGGCGCCACTACCTGGAGGGAAACCCCAACCGCCTAGATGTGATAGTCTACACGGACCATCGTAACCTGGAGTCTTTCATGACAACCAAGCAGCTTACCCGCAGACAGGCTCGATGGGCGGAGACACTGGGCTGTTTCGATTTCGTCATTAAATTCCGACCCGGCAGTAAAGCTACCAAACCAGATGCCTTATCTAGAAGACCGGACCTGGCGCCTACTAACGAGGAAAAATTGACCTTTGGCCAGTTGTTAAGACCCGAAAACATCGGCCCAGACACGTTCCCGGTCGAGCTTGCTAGCGTAGAGGGGTTCTTCGAAGATGAAGTGGTTGCACTCGACAATTCTGAGCACTGGTTTGAGGTGGATGTATTGGGCATCGCTGAAACTGACACTAAGGCACCGGACATTCCTACGGATGATCAAATTATACAACGAATCAGAGACGCAAGCAAAGAGTGTGACAGGATAGGGGAACTGATGAACGCAACCTTGAACCCGATATCAGCCAAGACGAAAGCAGCTTTGAAGCATTACAAAGTACAAGATGGTATCCTCTACAACCAAGGTAGAATAGAGGTACCTGACGTCGACGACATCAAATACTCAATACTAAGAAGCAGACACGACTCATTGCTTGCGGGCCACCCAGGTCGAGCAAAGACTCTCGGATTGGTCAGGAGAAGCTTCATCTGGCCATCTCAGAAAGCGTACGTCAACAGGTACGTGGACGGTTGTGACTCTTGTCTAAGGGTTAAATCAACCACACAGAAACCCTTTGGGACTCTGGAGCCATTACCGATACCGGCTGGCCCGTGGACGGATATCTCATATGACCTTATCACCGGCCTCCCTGCATCAAACGGCTACGACAGCATATTAACCGTGGTGGATAGATTAACGAAAATGAGTCATTTCATTGCTTGTACTGAATCAATGTCGGCTGAAGACCTAGCAGATCTCATGATGAAGAACGTATGGAAGCTTCATGGAACTCCCAAGACGATAATCTCAGATAGGGGTAGTATTTTCATTTCACAGATCACGGAAGAAATTGACAAACGCCTAGGTATACGCCTTCACCCGTCAACCGCTTTCCACCCACGTACAGACGGTCAAAGCGAGATCGTCAATAAAGTAATCGAACAATATTTACGACATTTCGTTAAATATCGACAAGACGATTGGGAAAGTCTACTGCCCACAGCTGAGTTCTCGTATAACAACAAAGACCATGAATCCACGGGCATTTCACCGTTTAAAGCTAACTATGGATTTAACCCATCATTCAACAAAGTACCATCAGCTGAACAGTGTGTGCCAGCAGTAGAGAAGAGGATGCAAACACTCGCCGAAGTGCAATCTGAATTAAATCAATGTTTAGAATTAACTCAAGAGAAGATGAAAGAACAATTTGACAAAAGAGTACAACAAACACCAAGATGGGAAGTAGGAGACCAAGTCTGGTTGAACGGACGAAACATTTCGACAACTAGGCCAAGCCCAAAATTAGAAAATAGATGGCTAGGTCCTTTCTTCATTATCCAAAAGATATCAAATTCTACTTATAAATTGAATCTCCCTCTTTCCATGAAAAGCGTCCATCCTGTATTTCATGTCTCTGTACTCAGGAAACATAACCCGGATACAATACATCAACGAAAACAACCCCCAGTCGAACCAATCATAATACAGGATGAAGAAGAATGGGAAGTCAACGAGATACTAGATTGTAGAAGAAGGTACAACAAGAAGGAATACTTTGTGAGTTGGAAAGGATTTGGCAAGGAAAACAATTCATGGGAACCCGAAATCAACCTCAAGAATAGTCAAGATTTAGTTAATGAGTTTAATTTAAAATATCCCGACGCAACAAATAAGTACAAAAGGAGAAGGCGGAAGAAGTAAGAGGGCTATGCTTTTTCCCACTGGGTTTTTTAACGCAGCCCGTGGAAAGAATGCAGAGCTTGCAAGAGGAAGTTTGGGCATTAAAGGGGGGATAATGTTATGAACTGGTTCTATTTCACTTGAGTGACATATTCACATTACATGTCACAAGCTCGAGAACCATCTTATAGTTGTAGATACATTGCCTGTACAGATTTTCCCTCATCCGACAATCCACATAGGAAGACCGGTAATAGATACAAATCCTCACCAGAACTCCCTTGACCCTCGTCGCCGAAAACCCCCAAGTCTGTCCATAACAGCAGTACAAAAACTTGCAGAAGGATATTTAAATAAGGATATCCTGAAATAAAGGTGAAAGTTATTTACAAGATGTTGGAAAAGAATTAAGAGACCTTTAATGAAGCAGTTAAAGTGATACCTCCGTCTGAAACCAATTAAGCTTTATCTACTAGTCATCAACATCAGAATGAAGAAATTGGAATTAGTACATTGACTTTGGATACTAAAAGAGAAGCTTCAATTGCTAGATCAAGTCGCGATGAATTGGTTTTATTTTCACTTTTATGTTTCTCATTGAAAATGTTTTTTTACAGTCATTGCATCCTGTTTCCTTTTATTTTATTTTATTCTATTTCATTTTAGTTTTCAACTTTTTTTATGATCTTGTCTTAACTTTTACAATTTTTCCTTTCTTTACACTCATTTAAATCACTTTCTATACACTTTCTTTACACTAATTACCTCCCAATACATTTGTTCAGTTTTCATCTCTTAGTTTGTGAAAGAAAAAAAATGCATTACTTTTTAGCCTGCAGCACTGGGAAGCGCTGCGCCAAAAAACTGTGCTTCTTGCCACCGTTTTGTCCCCAAAAAAAATCCCGCCTCCGCTATCACCTCTGAGTTTGGCCGAGCTCAATTTGAGTTATGCTGCTCAAATCACGGTTAGCAGCGCTGGGTAGCGCTGCAAGCCAGACTTGCCTGGTGTGAGCTTTTGGCAGGTTGGACAGCTTTCTTGTAAATTTTGGGTTTTTTGTCAACTTCAGCCGTTCATTACTCTGCAATCATTGCATCAAATACACAGTCAAATACATGAATGTAGGCAGGACCAGCGGGCACACAGGACACTTCTTGGGTCCAAAGACTGTTTATTTGAAGGGTAAGAAGTAATGGCAGGTTGAAAAACTCCCCAGCCAAAAGTTTCTTGCTCACACATTAAATCTTGTGAATAGCCCATAAGTCCCTCTCTTGCAGGATCACTTGCTGAGAGGGACTTTGTTAGGTTAGAAAATTATGAAAAAATTGTGGCAAGTGAGATGGGATGGCTCACTTGAAGAAATATGGTTTTCCATGGTACCCTTTTGTCAGATTGATTTGCGATTAGATTTTTGGTCTGTTGAGTCAATCAGCTATCAAACAGTAGAAAAATGAAGGTGTTTATGGGTAATATGATTTGCACCTACTCAAGAAAGCGGTTGGAATACTCAAATCTTACCAAGAAGTGGGTCAAAATCTGATGTATGATGACCAATACTGACTTGACAAAGGATGACATCTGATTACCAAACATCTTATAGTAGCTCTTCTGACTCAGCTTTTGTATTATTGAATTGGATCTTAGCAGAGTCTCTCACTAGCAACATCAGGTGCAGCTCAATAGTTCGACAAGGAGTGGCTGAGCGCTAGGTAAATAGTGCAATATAGTGATCCACATACTAGGTAACAACATTAGGTGCATCATGATGTGAGACCCAAAGGTGAATCAAAGAGGCATTTTCACTCATTCTGAGGATTGTGTTGGTAAGAATTAAAGGAAATCAAAGTGTTGAGCGCATTGTACATTTCCACTTGACTTCCCATCCCCATTTTTTCATTATCCCACTACTACATGCAATCCAACCCACTCTATTGGAGTGACAGGTTATATAGTGCTCCTAGTGCTATCTCCATCGTCCTCGTGTAATCTGTTATGAGGTTATTCCTTTCGTCTAAGATGATGGACGACCTCAGGGTCTTCAAATGATAAGAGACCCCATAACTTTTTCTGCTCCGATTCTCGAATGCCCATATGCGTAGTGAGGCCACAAGTAAAAGTGATATAGCTTTAATCTTACTTTCTAGTACGTCGTTTATGTAGTAATTCACCATAAAACCCACCAAAGGCTTGAATCATCGATTGGAGTTCTTCGTGATTGACAGATTGATGAGCTTGAGCATGAATCCCATCAATTGTAGGTCTTTGTTCCAATCCACTATGAACTTAATTCTAAAACCTATCAGTATTGGATTTTTATGATTTCTTGAAAAACAAAAGTTAACTCAACTTGATGGTTTTCCTTGTTCAACTAGACATTTAATGATTTCTGAATCACCTTGAAATTCATTAGTCTTAAGATCTGAAAGACGTAATTGACCATGTTTTAGAGATTGAGATTGAATTGAAGGAATTAAGATTTCATGAATCGGTCCAGATTTTAAACATGTTAAAGCAGCTGAAGTTTCAATAAAATGTATAAATCCAAATCCTCGATACCATTCTGTATCTGGATCCTAAGCTTTACAAAAAGAAAAATGTGACATCGATATCTTTGAGAGTCAATTCTAAACAATTTTTTAAAACAATTGATCACATTGGCTTACCTTGGGAAATTTACAGTATGATATCTTTCCGAATCTTGATTCAAAGTGATTTATGGTCCATAGTATACTTTGAGAGGTTAAAGAGATTGATGGACATCGAATGTTGAGGATGAACGGTCGATATCCTAAATGGTTTATTGATTTCGGTAACATTCATTCGTATATTTTTTTGCCTGTTGTGAAAGATCTCCAAATTATACATACAAACTCGAAATCATAAACTCGCAAGACTCGGCCGATGCAGTCCGTCAGGCGGCTATTCGTCTCAGATCCGCTATTCCGGCCCGAAGAGAGGTCGAGAGGGTTCGGGTTTCTGCTTCAAACCCCATGGCGATCGTGAGGATGCCTCAACCAGTCGACGCGACTCAACGCGACCCAACAAGGAAAACTTAACCAAACTAAAACCCACATAGACACTCGAAAACGCTCGGAATACCGATTTTTAACGACCAATGAATCCATGAAAACCGTCTTGAAGTGAATACATCCTCTGAAGATCTACAGTCGAGATAAATTATAACCATGAGCTCAAGAGAATGTCCAGTGGAAGCCTATACGAACTTAATGAACATCATCATGCCATTAATCAATACGGTCTTCGAACCAAATCCAAAAATAATACCTACTATCAAAATAGATGAAACGATTCGAACCAAATTATTTAAATCGATTTTGAATTTTCCAGAACCTGGAATAGCAGCTTTATCAGACGAACTGATTAATAAACCTTACTCTTTAATGAGTTTATTAATCAAAACCAATGATAAATTATTATTTTATGCAATGATCTTACGTGGTATAAGTGTAAGACGATCAAAGATTTCTAAAATAGAGCTTTCTTCTTCACCTATTGGAGATCTTATTAAGAAGGCACTTAGATCTGAGCGAAACAATCAGCGTTTGGAAATCCGTGAGTGACTTTTCTTTCAGTGAGGAAGCCGACAAAGCTTTATGAATTTTAAAGTATTGACATCCAGGTTTGTGTTGTAGCACACGATATTCTTGCACAATTAAACTCCTTTCGATCTGAGCCGATAGTCAGAGTACCACCACGATTAGCTACTTCAAAAAGGAGAGCGTTGATTGAAATTGAAGACAATAAACCTGAGATCGAGAAACCAGTTTCGAAACGTGCAAGATTGGCTCAAATTCAAGATCAGAAAGAGGAATCCAAAAAGATTGAATTAGCAGAAACATCCAAACCTATCAAACCCGAACCATTCCCCAAACCAACGATCCCGAATCATGATCCACCCTTCATCATGAAATTGATGAAGATCCCAAACGAAGCTAATGAAATCAGTATTAAACATTCTTAGAAGTTGGAGCAGATGCTTTTAAAGTAAGGACTTCTTTTTTTACAAACATCATCAATTCTCAGAAACTCAACTTGATCTTCTGATTGTTCACTTTTTGAAAAAACTTAAGTTGGCAAATAAACTTCAACACAGACAAGATGCCTTGAGAGGCGCAGAGAAATATAGACCAGGTAAATCAGGAAACCGTGCAAAGTTTCCAATCTTATCAATCGAAAGAGGTGATCTAAAGATCTCCTCAGAAACAATGGAAAGTAAACTTTATCAAACCGCTAGAGTTAAATACAATTCAGTTGAGATTGCTATGAAAGCTGTGGAGGAATTTCATAATAAGAAATATTTGTGTAAGAGTCTTACAAATGAAAGGGTGGTTTGTGAATTTGAATGATGAAAGAATTGGTTTCTTGATAGATTGGATTGGTGACCTAAGTGAGTTCCTAAACTTTTTTTTCATTAATGTAGCTTTTGAGTATGTTTCACTTTGGCTTGTTTTGTTCTTTGCAATCAAAAACTGGACCAGAAATTCAGAAACTGCGTGTTTTGACAAACCTTGATATACTTTGGGTGTGTTCACTTTAGGGCAAGTTCACTTAAAGAATTTCTGACCAGAAATCACATTCTGTAAATCTTTTAATGCAAAAATGAAACATGCACCACCCAATAGACACTTTAAATTTTGTAGAATGTGATTTCTCACCATAAATTGCTCAAGTGAACACACCCTTAGGAAATGCTGACCAGCACTCTACATTGTGAATGTTCCCTAAAAGGATGTGCAGAAACTGGATTGAAAACTCTGAACATGTAGTCCTTTTTCAGATCAAGAGAACACTGAATTCCAACATAAAAGAATTATTCAATTCATTCATACAAATAAGCAAGTTAAAGGATTTACCTTCTCCCAGGAACGTTCCCACATCAAACAATAACTTGATAAGATTATCCTTTATAAATTCATATCCTCAATCCTAACTAACATCAAAGAAAAAAAACTTCTTCTTAAACTATAGTCCTATTTACAATTCTCTAACATCAAAGAAAAAAATGTTTTGTCAATGAAATTCAATAATAATATTCAAAAACATATAAAAGCTGAACTAAAGAAATTGAAAGATTACAAAACTGATCAATAAAACCAAAAGAGAAACACACACAAACACATTTGATGACTGTCTTCTTTTTACAATACGAAACCCCACCAAAATTCATACCAATCAGTTTTAATGATCTATAATTAAATTTGTTTAAGTTTCTGATTAGATAAACAAGACTTTGAATTAAGATTAGATTTAATCGATCTACTTTTAACTAATTCTTTAAAGTCTTTTAATCCCATCAAATCATCATCATCATCATCATCCTGATCATTTACAAAGATCTCATTAAATTCCATCCAAGTTTCATAGCCTAACGTTCTCAATCGGTTTAAAGAGGTTTGATCGATTTTGAAACATAAGAATTCAATTGATTTTAAATTCAATAAGATCTCATCAATCATTAAATCATGTAGTTTTCTAATTATTAAGATCATCGAAAGTCCAATTACCATACTCATCAGTTTAGACATCAATGTTAATGGGGTTGAGATCGAGTTTAATAAGAATGAGTTTAGTTGATAGATGTAAATCGGGATGGAGATCAAAGTGAACAATAAACCCAAGGTTAATTTGTTTTGTGAGATGCTTTCAGGTTCTTTAGCTAATAGAGAAGAAGAAAACCCAAACCAAAGGTAAACATCAAGATCTAAAACACATAGACACAGGAATTAAATGAATTCAGAAGGACTTACGTTGAAGTCTTGAACCTAAATAAGATCCCAAATACATTGGTAAATGAAAGAAAGCAGGTAAGATAAAAAAAGGTAATTTAAAGACCAAAAAACTCAAGATCAGTTTAGATTGATGAAGGATGAGATGAGTTTCTTCGGATTGGGTTGGAATCGAATTGAATAAAACATGATGATTGGTTTGATAAGTTTGAAGTAAACGATGGTAAGAGATTAATTGAGTTTTCAGTGATTTTAATTTCATCCTCGGTTTTGATGATAATGAATCTTCTTCAGGTATCGAAAAGAGTTTGATTAACCTGAATATCAATCCAAGCATTCATTCATCAGTTAACTCGTATGAACTCAAGTAGAAAAACTCGTATAAAAGAATCCACCCATTTTTTTGCTTGAAACATACCTTTGCATATGATCTCTATAATGTTGCATTGGACCATGACCATCTACCCAAATGAATTCTCTAACCAATTCAGCACACCAAAGAGTTTCCCAATCAGGTGAATTGATCGTCACAGATCTTAATCTAGAATCCACTTCAGTCATCAATTCTTTCACCGATGATTTCGCATCACCTTCATCTTCACTCATGAATTTCGTGATCAATCGTTTGGAAATCTCAATCGGTTCGGCATACTCTAATTGAACTGATGATCTATATCGAGTCTTGGATGTATAATTTAATCCTACAATCACTATCTTCACATCTTTGGGTTCAGAATCTTGAGGTAATGAACTTAATCCTAAGGCAGTTTCTTTCGAACCTGAAAGTTTTGAACCTGTAGATCTTAAGTTCTTGGCATATTCTAATGCCGTCTTTTCGATTTTGATTTTTTTGATTTTTCGTGTTGATGAAAAAGAAATTCGAAAATTAAAATTAGTCAAGAAATCATCAAGAGGTCATTTTTTTTTGCCTATGTGTGTTTTGTTTTGGTGTGTGTTTTTTGTATAAGAACATACACAACTTTCAATAACATACCCATCCGATTCCATCCTTGATTTGCATGATTCTTGGTTCAGTATAACTTGTACCTTCCGGAAAAAGTGCTACTGCTTCACCTAATTTAAGTACATCAAATGTACCTTTAAAGAGTAACTAAATCAAAAGTTAAAATACAAAAGAAGATTTTTCCATCAGAAAGATCGATTTGAGATTCTTGTAAGATGTTAAGAGAATTGAGAAATGAAATTGAAAGTGATCAAAGAAAAAGAAAAAGACCTGATTGTTTTTCGTGGTTCGATCTACTGGAATATTACCTGAATCGATCAAGAGGAATCGAATGATTGGATTTTTAAAAAGTGTATTCTTTGCCCAATAATGTAATTTGATCCCATGAGTGAGTTGAGTTGATAATAAAGCTGGCTAAAGATTTTCGAATTTTCAAAGAATTAGTATTTTTAATCTGTTGAAGAGAGTAGAAGAAAAGAATGAAGCATACATACATCTATGATCATATTCCAATGATTACTTGCTACGATGATAGGATGATCGATTGGAACTTGATGAGAGTTAGTTGAGATGATAGATTGAAAGTAAGCATTTAATGACCAAGTTGATAGTAGTTTGATTAAATCGTGAGTTGGACCGAATGGCATGATGATCTTGAACTGTTTTCTTCCTTTTGTTTTTCTAGTTTTCTATTTGTAAGTGTTCTTTTGATAGTGACTAATAGTGATATAGTGATAGTAATACTTGATAGTTGAAGTGGGTTTTATGTAGTTATAAGTTTCGGAGAAAATCGAATTCAACACAACCACTTGAATTCCATTTTCATTTAACACATTCCAACTTTCACTTTCTCCTAAAATCAAATACTAACATTCACATTCTTCTCCTGAACCATTTCCATTTCATCTGCCAATCTCATCTCTCTATCTACTATCAACACTTAACTCCTATACAACTATCAAATTAGAAAATCAAACTTTTCAAATCCCCATCAGTAACACTCTCCTGAATCCTGATCTATCACCACACTCAAGATTACATTGCTTTGACATCATAAACTAATCTAATACAAATCATACAAAAAAGAAACAACTTGATCTGCTTGCACCAAACTTAATAGTACAACCAATTGCTAATTCAAAAGAAAAAAAAAGGATAGGCAAACATTCAAACCTTTGAATAATCTTCATTAAACAATCTACCAATCAACATTCTTCTCTAAAAGTTTGAACCCCAACCAAATCAAAAAAAAACCAAACCAATCAGTCATCTCATCTTCTTTTATCTTTCAGATCAAACTCAAATCAAATCAAAGGTCTGCTTACGATTTCTTGTGTACCTGCTCCTACCCTATAAAGTTGCGCATCTCTAAAAATCCTTCCGGTAGGATACTCATTGATATATCCATTTCCACCCAACATTTGCATCGCATCTACCCAAACCGAACCGAACCATAATCTCAATCAATTTCAAGAAAAAACACACGCGAGCTTTCATCAACCGCTTTCCTACTCACCTGTGGCTACTTCTAATGCTCGATCTGATGTATAAAGAATCACTCCAGCACAATCTCTTCTACTAACCTTTCCTTGATCACATGCTCTAGCCACTGCATAAACATAAGACCTAGATGCACTAATCTTAGTATACATATCTAAAGTTTCCAAGATTAAAACATAGCTTGATGACCATTAGAATGGATTTCTGGATCAGATGTTCCATAAACGGTAAGAGGTAAGCTTACCTGCTATTTTCCCTTGGATTAATTGGAAAGAACCAATCGGTTTTCCAAATTGACGTCGATCATGTATATAAGGCATAGCCACCTAAACTTCCCCACCCAAAAAAAAAAGAAAATCAATTTCGAGAAACACTCAAAACAAAACCAAGGAAACGAACATCAAAAGCAGATTGCATAAGTCCTAAAGGACCTCCACTTAAAACCAATCTTTCTAAATCTAAACCTGACATTAAAACCTTTAGTCCACCATTGATCTCACCTAAAACGTTTTCTTTTGGGACCCTACAGTCTTCAAAGACTAATTCACATGTATTCGAACCTCTCATGCCTAATTTATCTAACTTTGGTGAGGTGGAAAACCCAGCCATATCAGATTCGATGATGAATGCCGTGATACCTTTGGGGGGATTGGTTTTGGCGTAAACTATTAGTGTTGAGGCGTTGGGTCCATTGGTGATCCTATATATATACCAAAAGAAATGGATCAATGGGTGATTGATGGTTAAAGGTTTGATGGATCAAATCGAACCGACTTACCAAAACTTATTTCCATTCAAAAGATAATGATCATCTTTTTCAATGGCCAAAAGTTTCATCGAAACCACATCTGAACCCGATTCGACTTCACTCATAGCCAATGATCCAATCTTTTGACCAGAGATAAGATCAGGTAAATACTTTTGTTTTTGTGAATCGGTTCCGTTTCGATGGATTTGATTGATACACAGATTCGTATGAGCTCCATATGATAATCCAATCGAACCTGATCCTCTTGAGATCTCTTCCATGGCTATGATATGGTCTAGATATCCTTTATTTAATCCTCCGTATTTCTCGGGTACAGTGATTCCTAACTAATTAGAATCAGACCGTTTAGGTGCATATATCAAGTTTAGTGATTTCAAATCCGGTTTAAAGTTTCAAGATTTGATATCAAGAATGAACTCACTAATCCCATCTCTCCAAATTTCTTCCAAAGTTCCTAAATAAAAAAAAAACATTCTCGAAATTCATTTGATCATCTTAGTTTAGAAAAAAAACTTCAACAATAGATCTTTTTGTTTTGAATCAAGAGACAGAGATATGTATAATCATTTACATTTGGAAAATCGTTTTGTAAATCAGTTTGATGAGCCAATGGAGCGACTTCTGAATCTACAAAACCTTTGATAACTTCTCTAAGCTAAAGATAAGAATCCCCCCAGAAAAAAAACAAAACAAAGAAAAAAAATTAACTTTTTTGTTTTGTTTTGAGTGTTTGAAATGGTTTATAACCCGATCTGGCCCTGGCTGATCACTTACTTCGACTTGTGATTCATTTAAACCTGAGAAATCAACAGATCGGTCATGATAATATCGGATGTGTCTGAAGTTGATGGCTTGGATTGATGGTTTGAATGGGTTGATAGGTTTGATGAAATGGTTTAATAGTTTTATGTTTCTCATCTTTTCTTCGATTCGATTGGATTGGGTTTGATTTTCTGTTTTCTGTTGTTTGATTTCAATTTGCGATTTTCAATTCGGTTTGTTTATGTGGTGGCTTCGGGGTCGGGTATGCTTAGCTATCGCATTCGGATCTCGGTCTTCCCCTGTTTTCATGGGACTTGATCAGGGTGAAACCCGACCCAGGAAAGCGGGTAGTAGCCTACCCGTACTCAGCCTGAATTTAAAAAGGCCCCAGACCCGGTCCTGAACCGAAGTAAATCCGGCATCCAAGAGGCAGCCCGAGCCCGAACCCAATTGCCTTAAGCCCGCAGGATACCAAAGGGGGGTTTGATGCATTTGCCCTCATTTGCCCCCCGCCTCACCCCAAGGTTTCAATGGAAAACCAAAGAGAAATTAAAGAACTGGTTTGGCACTACTTCTTTGAAATACACAAAGAAATGCCCCAGAGACAGTACTCACTCCTTGGTTCTGCAATTCATAAAGTTTGGAAGGATGAATTCTTAGCTTGTGGTAAATCAACAGCATCTTTATAAAAACAGAACCTTGAGCATGTTCATCATCTTGAACTCAGGATCCTGCTGAAAAACTATAATAGGGGGTTTCAAGTTGAATGTTTTGACGTATTTTTATGCTACAAAAACTTGCCCGTTTTGTTGTAAGATATGCGTAAATTTTTTAAAGCAGGACACTTTTTTAGGTGTCCTGAATTAAAAATACCTTGCTTTTACAAAGAATTTTTTTTACAAAAGACTTGTCTGAATGTATTAAAAAATTATGCAAAAAATTGAACTTGAAACCCCCTAATGTCATTTGGAAAGCTAAAAGATCTGGATGCTGGGTAGAATGAGATTTCTGAAAGTAGGTCAGATAATTGGTGATGAGAGTGGATCAGGAAAATGCTAGTACATAAAAGAAACAGAAAAATAATGACTTGGGGCCTTTGTTAAGAGATTGTTGGTAAGGATGAAACAAAAACAAAAGATCAACAAATGCACTGTGTAATCTTGTTTAACATCTTTCAACATCTTTTAGCTTACACAAAGAGAAGATTCAAGGAGCCATATGAGCCCTGTGCTGTAAAAGAAAAGCCCCAGAGAAATATTTGACTCAGGATAAATTTTTTGTCTCTTGGGAAATGAGCAGAATTTGGGAGTTTATAGGAAGAGAGCCTGAAAGTAACCAGGCCATCACTGTTTGAAGGTAAGGAGTCTAAAATGGAATGCTAGAATTTAGATCAGTTATTTGATGGATTCACTGAGGCTAAAGCATGAGCTTCTCTATCTTGGTTTCAGGGTGCTGTCTCATAGAGTTCAAATAAATATTTTGTTCTACTGATCCATTCACCCTTGGTCCTACTTGGTCACCTTAATTCTTCTTCAAGCTTAATAATACAGCAAATCTACCAAGACTAGCTCATATCTGAGCCTTTTAATATGTAGACCTGGTTGATTGAGTCACACATGATATCTCTTTGGTCAGTATCCGTATGGTCAGACACACAAGATGTATCTCATGGATGAGGTAGACTTGTTGCAAGGGTTACCTTCTGACATAACTCCCATCAGTGTAAGAAATGAGGCTACCCAATCATTGACTGATGGTCTGGAATAGATGCTCTGTGAGCCTTGTGTGATGGATGTGACTTTTCAAAAAGGGTTTGGCGGGGGGGGACAAAATGTGTGATAGGTGCAAAAACATGTGATGCAAAAATAAGAAGTGGAAAACTTGAAGACATATATTGTCTACATCCTTCAAGAATTTACTAATCTATCCTTGAAGTTTATATACTTGGAGAGTGCCGGCTATTGCAATATTCACTCAAAAAAAATAACCCAGTCCATTGAGGACAGCTTTACTTAGGCAGATCAATCCACAACAACTTGCCAGCAGCAGCTTTGGTGGCCATCATGTATCATATGGATTTGATCATTTGTAGAAGATAAATTGGTGAGAGATTCCTGTTGTATTTTAGACAGATCTCTGATGTGGTTAAATCTTTGGGTGCTCCTCCCCTCAAAATGGCATTTCCAGGCGCTTCCAGGCGCTCCTGCTCCAGTGGACACTTGCACACCAAATTATGCAATACCCTCAGACTCAGAGAATCCCCAATGTGGCAGGTAAAATAAGCAGTTTTATGTGCTCAATTGGGATGTCTGCCCGCCCTGCCAGTTGCTAAATGTACCCTATCAGTTGGAAAATGTAGATGGTTAAGTGTACAGCTGCCACCCACAACATGCATTGTGGGTAATTTGTGTATAAACAATCCACAGACATGCTGTCCAAAAAGTAATTTGAAAGGTTGGGGAAAAGGAGTTGATGGAAAAGGTGGTCAAAAAATCTGACAAAAGTGACCTTGAGTGTTCTACTTGGGTAGGTAGCTACATGTAGTTACACAAAGGTAGGAAGAACAAGAAGAGACAGGAGCACAACTTGTGATGTCAAGTGGTAGTTGTACAAGAAGATATCTCAACAATGAATGTAAAAAAATGAAAGCTTTATCAGAACATAAGATTGGTATACTGTAGCTGGTGATACAATTCATCATCATATTTAGGTTGAGAACTAGACCAAAGTTTTGTGAGTAAAGACATGGTACAAGTTACAACAGTTGCATGTAATTGGATCTAATTGCATAAAACCAAAAAGGAATATTGAAGAAGTAGATTAAAATATTGGATAGAGATTTTGTTACAACAAGGGACTCCCTACAGATCTACTGGATTGTGTGTGCTCAGACTCCACAAAGCCAGAGGATTTGTATCTTAGTGTATTTCAATACACACCATGTAACTGCTATGGGGAGCTTGTCTTTGCCACTTCCCACATAGATGCAATGATAACAAATTGTGTGCAGACATCAATTTTTAGTTCCTCACTCTTTATGTACATCTTCACGTTGTATTGTGCTGATAACATATCACTCCTACACACACCTCCGGTGACACACACACCAGATATGAAACTGGTAACATTTTTTAGATAATATTTAATTGTTTCAAAATGGAGGATGCTTGATTATCAACATGTTTGACCTCATGATTACAAGATTGAACTGTACTAGCAGATTTAAATTTCAAATGCACACTCAACTCCAAATTCCATCCTCTTTCAAGTAGTAAGAACAACACCATAAATTTCTGAAATCCATCCATATTCATCCCCATGTACAATCAAAAGAAGTCAGGAAGCTCATGGCTATCAACATTCTTTCTGGTGCTTGTTTTGAAATATTTTTTTTCCCAGTCATGTTTAGGACTACAGACAAACCCCAGAATGCTTGATCACAATGAATCTGTCTCATTGCCAAATTATCCTCTAGGGTTTGACTTGAATTATCCCAAAGTAGATTTTACACAGCAAGACATGCATTCAGATACATTCTTTGTAGTCCACAATCCAGGCAAAGAGCTCAAAAACATAGAAGAACCAGCCCATGGTGACCTTGGCCAAAAAATCCATCATGAATCAAAAAGCATCATCCTTCCAACCTTTGCAGCACATCCTCACAATCCAATTGAAGCAATTGATTACATGGGTTATAGTAAGCAATCCACACTAGGTTCTCAAGTTGGTAATCATGCAGAAGTACTGGTCACAGACAACCTTGGGAATAGTATTTATCCTTCATCCCAGCACACCAAGTCTGATTGCCCAATACCAAACCTCTCCAATTATCATATATGCATTGACAATAATAATCCATATATGGATCAAGACAGGAATCCTCTGCAATTATTTGAAAGCCAGCATTCTTTGGGAGAAATAGCTCATAATCTAAAAAGTGTTCAATATTCTGTGGGTCCAGAGATGGAAGCTGAACATGGATATAACTCAAAGAAACGGAAGATATGTGCACTGAATGCTGAGAAGACAAATCATGAAAATGCATCCAAGAAGCTGTCTGCAGAAACAACTTCAGCCTTCACTGATGATAGTGTAAAAAACAGAGGGAAACATTCATATCAATTATGGAGAGATGACAGGACAAGCCAAGGACCATTTTCTGAAAATGATGGTTCAAATTCAATCCTTCAAAATAATTTGAGGGAATTACACAATACACCAAACCATATAAAATCCTTCTGTGAGGCAAGGATTTCATACGGTTCAAGAGACCAATTTTATCTGCTGCAGAAGATTGGAATTATCCAAGTTAACAGGTCTTCAAATCTGTGTTATGAGATATTTGATGCTTTCTATGATATATATGAGAAAATGAAGTTAAGGTTTGGAGAGAATCCTAAAGCAATCAAAGCTGCAGCTTTGGCCGTGAAGAATGCTGGGTATGCAATTGTTATGGTATTCCTTGGAATTTTAAGAGTGTTTGAGGCTGAAATACATGTGAAGGATGATCTTGAGATCCTTCTTACTGATGGTTGGCAGTACATGAAATCATTTTTTGAAACCTGGAAAAATGTTGAGGTTGAAGATCTGGGTTTAGGGAGAGCTACTCAATTTACCTTGCAGCTTTTCTCAGACCCCAAATTCCACCTGAAATACTTGAAGGATATTAAAAGTGATAAGAACATATCATGCTCACTGGTCCATCTGCTTTCTCTTGATTGGGCTGAAAAGACAGGAAGATCAAGAATACCCAAAGGAAAACTATCCCCCTATTCAGAAAGAATCCTGGAGATATACAAAACTGACTCCAATTTGATTGAAGGAGGACTGTATGAGAGGATGGGTATCAGGAATGAAGCCTTCTGGGGACCAGAGCAATTTTCAAGATCAAGATGGCATTTGCATGGGGAAGAAGAAGCATTGTCTCAGAATTTCATTGCCTTGAGTTCCAATGCTGCACAGTTTCATACACCTATTGGAAGAGAGATGTGTAGAGATGTTCACACATTTTTTGAGGAGCTGATTCATGATATAAAGAGTCACTATGATTTGATCAATGGAAATCACACTTCATCTGGTCTTCCACCTCAATCACTGAAGCATCTTGCTCTCATGACCAGGGCTGTCAGTATGGCCGAGTACAAAGTGACTCCTGTGTATATTGGCATGATCAAAATTCTCAATCAAAAACACTTAACAGAGTCACAACTTCAAAAGTTGCTCCTAAATGCATGGAAGTTTCTCAAGGAAGTCTTTTCTCAATGGAGGATGTTAAATCTTCAAAACAAACATCTGAAATGCTCCTACAACTACAAATCCAGTGAAGTGAATCCTGTCATTGGATTTGATGATCCCAATGCTATGTTCTGGAGCCTTGCTGGGTTCAGAAACAAGAATCTTGTTCCAAGACTCTTTATTGTTTATCTTTTGAACTCTTGGAAGAAAGAGATTACTGAAGGTTCACAGGGATATATAGGGTTTCCAGTCCAAGATATACCTTCAGGAAGCATCGTAGATTGGAATTTGAACTGTGGGAAATGACATGTCCACCAAACAAAGGAGAACCTGATTTAACATACATAAAGTTTCAAAGTGGTCTACAAATATTTATAAGAGTGTAAATTTACCTTCATTCAGTAGTTCAGCTGTTTTATGGGTAAACTGTGTAAGCTCCACTTGCACTTTCATAGAACACCCTTGTCTCTTGTTTCAGGGTTTTTTTATTTTCCCATCTCTCTTTCCTCAGGCCATTTGTCTCCTCTCCTATCGCGTAAACCATAAGGCTAAACATTGATGTGTGAATGCAGTACTGCGATAGACCATAATGTATGCAATATGGGAGATCAAAAGTTCTCGGCCCTGACCACTATGACCCATTGCCTGTAAGGGTACAATATAGGGTGGTTTCACAAGCTTGTGCATGTCAAATGTTTTGGTTGGAGATTCCAAATGCTATTTAGGTAAGTTTCACCCGGATCACACTGGGCCGTAGAAGCATCTCTCAGTTACAAAGATCCTGCTCATCACGCATACCAAGATGCGATATTCTGAAATCAAACTTTGAAACCACATTGAAAGTCATCAGCCACCTACAAGTTACACCAGGGTCATTTCAGGTCAAGACGATAGAGAAGATAGATTAAAAGAGAAAAAAAGTACTAGAGACACGTTAAGAGCCTGAGAGTACATAATTGAGACCCCTACTCCCCAAACAACTTTCGAACCCGCTTTAGCACGCTGTCTTTCTCGGGATCTAAGACAGAGCCAAGATGAAAATTCAATTTATAAGTATGTGAGCCTGAGAATAGATGCAGCCCAGATTCATCTCAAGAAAGAGTTAGACTGACCGTATGGGTGATCTTTCGATGGGATTTCCAATAGCGCGGGAAATGCGGCTACATACTTGTCGACTGAAGGCCTGATCTTGTCCGCAATCTATTTTGTTTTCGGAAAAATCACTAAATGAAGATGATAATCTCAAACGATTAAATTGACGAGGAACATACGTGCTGGTTGATCAAAACAATCGCAATGTCATCTCGACCTGTTGTAAATTCATCAAATGTAGCTTGGATAGTCTCGACGGAGGTTTCTAGACTCAGAGAGGATATATTTCTGATCCGATCAGCATGAAGTAATGTCAAGGGTGAAGAGTAATTTGCGCTCAACTTGAATCTACCACCAGGAAATTCTTGCTTCCCTTCTGAGTGATGTGACCCTGACAGATCGTTCATGATTACCACCAAATTCGATCAGTGGTGAAGTGGTCCGGCGAATTGATGAATGTGGGCTCACCGTTCCAGCGAGCAGTAGACCAGTGATAGAGTCCTTTGAGAGGTTTGAGTTGAGATACATGTTAGATTCATTGAGGCGGTGATGTCTTAAGGCCCGAATCAGATGACGTCAGAAAAAGCTAACCTCATCTCCAATGGTGGCTATAAGTGTGCGTTCTTGCCCACCGAGACGAGAGTTAGCCATTGATGTTGAAGTGTAATCGAATGCGGTTTAAATTGGCTGGAGCATCTGACTTGGTGTTCTGGGAATCGGGATCGTGAAGAACATGAGTTTGAATGAGCGGGAGCCAAGGAGACCTGTCATCAGACAGTCCCGCATGTGACATTATTGATGCCCCTTCATAGCGATTTACCTCACTGTCGCCTCGTGCGTGCCCGGTGCAAACTTGCATTTGAAACTCAATGCCAGAACCAGCCTCCTCCAAATAATTTGAAACAAATTCGATCGCATTGTCAACCTCTGCAGCATCACACATCGGAATGGGTAAAAGAAGAAACAACCTGTTGGACGAATCCGACCTTGATTCGAGCTCGAACGATTCTAGCGCTGATGACGACTTTGAAGATGGTGATTTGAAAGCAGCAAATGAATTATTTCGCGATCCTTATCAATCGAAACGAGCAAAGAAAATGAGAAGGGATGGCAAAGAAGATGCACTTTATGGTGTTTTTGGTGATGAAGAAGAAGAAGAGAATTCAAGAAAATCAAAAAAGGTTGACAAACGTTTGCACAAGTGAGCCTCGATTCTCATTTTCGATCACCTTGAATTATTGACTGACTTCATCTGATTGCGCTATAGGACTCCATTATTCGTACCATCCACGTCGAAAGACACCCTCGATCCAGATGTATCAGCTCACGAGTCTTCGATCCAAGGTCCTGGTACTCAAGGGGGCGAATCTGACTCATCTACGAGCTCTGGGGATGAATCTGACCAATCCGACTCTGAAAAACATGATGAGATGGAGAACACTGCCGCCATGGATGAGCAAGACGATCCAGACATGGGCAATCTCAACCGTCCCAAACTTGGTCTTGGGGCAGGCCTGGGTCTAGGCGCGTCAGCGTCCAACAACGACTTTCGCGCTATGTTGAGTTCAGGATCAACGAACCCCGGCTTGAGAAGAGCAGGAATCGGTTCAAAGACCACCGAGTTGGACAATCAAGCCATCAACGATTCCCCGATGAAAGGAAATTCAGAAGCCGAGGACTCCCCATCTTTACCACGGCGATCGTTCCTTGGCGCTTCAGCCTCTGAGTCCATGCAACCCATAGTGCAAAAGAAGCCTCTCTCTCGAGCCGAGCAACAGCATTTTGACAAACTTGCCAGTAGCAAACACTCATCGATGGGTCTCAAGATGTTGGAAAAGATGGGATGGAAGTCTGGAACCGGCTTGGGGGCGAAAGGTGAAGGTATCGTAACGCCATTGGAGAGTAAAGTAAGGCCAAAAGGAATGGGTCTTAGCTACGAAGGATTTGAAGAACGTACGAAGCAGGCCAAAGAGGAAGACCGACGGAGTGGGAAGATTGTTGATGATGACGAAGATCGAAAAGGTAGAAAGGTTGATCGATCCCAAAAAGAAACCAAGGTCGTCCGAGAAGCGTGGAAAGCGAAACCGAAGGCGGAAAAGAAGAAGAATAAAGTAATTCATCGAACTTATGAAGATATTATATCTGAATTAGCCGATGATCCAGAAAATGCAGGCTTGAATTCGGGATTAGGTGAAATTATTGACTTGACAGGTCGTAAACTTCCTAGTTTGAGTACTACATTACTCCATCATTCTAAAGGACCCACCGAAGAGTCAAAAGAACAACGATTACCTGAATTGATGCACAATCTTGCATTGATTTGTGATATGGGCAAAGGAAATCTTATCAATCTGGCTAAGGAGGGAAGTGCAATCAAACAGAAACAAGAACAACTGGCCAAGGATCGAGCCAAATCGGCAGAAATGATGAAGATCAAAGAAGAAAAGCTTAACAATATGAAAAGAATTATCGCCATCTCATCCAAGATCAAGGCTACGTATCTTAACATCCTCAGCATCATCAAACAAGATACTCAGGGTGCAGAAATATGTGGCATGTTGGAACAATTCGATGAATCTTTCAATGAGCTCTTGGAGTTTTTTCAAGATGATAAACGGGTGGAATATGACGATATGAACTTGGATGAGGTCGCAGTCTCTGCTCTCGCTCCAATTGTGAGTTCTCATTGTACCAGAATCATCTTCTTGGACTTTCACTGACTGAATCTTAATCATAGTTACGACGCGTGTGGCAAAATTGGGACGTATTGCAACAGCCCAACCTCTCTGTCGCAGAATTGAAACGCTTTAAAAAATGCTTTCGCCTGGAGAACAATTCGAATAGTTCACACCAAGGAAATGCGGATGACATTACGAGCTCTATGGATTTTTATTATGACAAAGCGACAAGAAACCCCAACGTCAACCGCAAGATGACAGCTTATGAAAGCTTGATTTGGAACGATTGGGTACCTAAGATAAGATCGACTGTCAATTCTTGGGATCCTGTTCAGTGTGAAGATATGATCGAAGTCTTTGTTCGATGGAGACCCCTCCTACCTCAATTTGTTCACGACAATTTCCTCGATCAACTCATTTTACCTAGACTTGTATCTTCTATCGATAGCTGGAGATTTCGAGACCGACACTCGAACTCAGTTTCAACCAATGACGAGGGAGCACCATCGATGGCTTTGCATTTGTTTGTATTTCCGTGGCTGGAACATCTTGGTTCGTATCGTAATGAATTAGTATTACAGGAAGTAAAATTGAAGTTGGCGACATGGATGAAGGCATGGAAATTTACAGCGGCTGAAGATAGTACCAAAGAACAGAATATGCTTCAGGACTTGTTAGTATGGAAACGGGATGTGTTCAAACGCCGAGACTGGGATAAGCTAGTACTTAAAAACTTAGTGCCTAATTTAGCCGGATACTTAAAAGCACACCTGATCATCAATCCCAAACAACAAGACCTCAAAGCTTTTAATACTTTGCTTAGATGGACGACTATTATCACGAATCGTGAAATACTTGATGGATTGTTTTCTGAATTCTTTGTCAAATGGCTTGAAACTTTATGGATTTGGTTAGTGGCAAGGACTGGGAATATGGATCAGATTGGAGCATGGAGCAATTGGTGGAAAGGCGTGTTCCCAGATCATTTGAACAATGAAGTCCCCGCGATCCGAGTCGGGTTTGCTCGAGGAATTGAAATGATGAATCAAGCTCGTTCATTGTCATCACTCGGTCTTGACCTTGAATCGAAACTCGAAAAGCCTGATCTGGTTGCCAGGCCTCTAATTGACCTATCATCTTCTAAGGATAGCCAAGGAAGATCGGGATCAAAGGACAAGTCTAGATCTAAAGTCACCCGACGAGCCGGATTTGAGGAAGTCACTTTCGAATCGATCGTTGAAGAAGAAGCGGCTCTATTAAATTTAATTCTCATTCCGCTTGGTAAATCACTTGAATCTAAGGGAAAGTATCTATATAGAGTTTCAAGAGAATACCAGTCTAATCAGAAACACTCATCAGGTTTAGTGATTTACATGGAAGATGATGTGGTGTTTGTCAAAACTTTATCCCAAGATGGTACTGGAGCTGTTGATTGGGAACCTATGGCAGTAGATGAGATGTTAGCAAAGGCTTCTGCATTAAGCAAAGATGACTGAGTAGTGCCAATTTGGACGGTTTCTCTTGAGTTTCAGGTTCAATTCGACGTGTTTATTCATTTTTTTGCTTGTGATCTACATGAGCTATATATGATGTGGGTCTAGATTTGCAAAAAAATAGTCTGTAGTACTGGATTCTAACTTTTATTTTGCCCCATGAAGGCACATCGAGATACAAGAGCAAAGTAAATAACGAAATAACACTACGTTTCTTAGGTAGAAATATCAGTATGTGAAAGATTGTATGAAGTTATCAGTGAGTCGCTTGTTGACAGTGTCACATGACTTTTTAATTGTTGGTTTTGGGTGTGGCAGATGATGGAGATTGTTTTAACAGTTACATGTGTCAAATCTCTCAAGATTTTAGTTGTGGTTGTTTGGAAACTGCTGCTTCTTGAATAGCAGATTGCAAAGTGATGTGTAATAAAAGTTTATCAAGGGCTGTTCACTTTGCCCCTTTTACTTTGCCCCGTTTGGTTGTTATTATTTTACCGTGGTATTTGCACAATTGCAGTAAAAATGACAAATTTGGGTGTTTGGTAGCCCAAATTTAAATGCAAAAGTGAACACACCCTTAAGCACATTCTGATCAGAAATGCACATTCTGTAAATATTGAAATGAAAACATGGACCTCACTCCACCAAACTGACATTTTAAATTAAATATGGGGCTTCAGGAGTATCAGCAAGAGTGCTGGATCAACTTGCCATGATCATAGCTAGTTCAAAGCTCTATTTTAGTGATACACACTGGGCAAATTGAGGTCATGTAGTGAATACAAGTTGTGTGGTCATGTTGAAAACAGAATATATTCCCGCACCCTTGGTCATGTCACAGCTACATGACATGTCTTCATGTAGGACACCACTGCCACTCATACAAGTGAGATGTGTGTGGGGCCTACAAGAATACTGTGATACAGATTGAATGAGCGACATAACACATGTACCCTTCAGTGTGTACTCAAATACATGTGATTGGTATGAGTGGTACGGGGTGCACACAGGATGAAGAATCCTGCATGCCTGACAGGTGCACCCAGTCCAGATATGCATTCAGGACCGTACAACCTGTATGCACCGCATGACTACAATTTTCCTGATGATAGGTGTATATAGGACTAGTGATAGATGTACTTTGCAGTTTGTGAGTTGCTGCCAATCCAAGGGAGGTCAATGGATATGGTAACGTTTTGGCAGCTTTTCAGTTCCTGTTCTTCAAAAGTGATGGTACCAAAATATTGAAATTGTATATGAGCCCATGAATTCTCCTGGAAAGGCCTTGGGCGCATCAAGGTGTGAGACATGAAAATTTTCATTTACTACTGGGTCTATTGAGATGATAAGGATACAAAACAATCAAGTCCATTGAGATCTGACAATCATACACCACAGAAATATAATTCCATTCTGGGTGATCTTCAATTCCTAACATGTTTGAACCAATGATCACACCATTCAGTTCCATGTGATAAGGTTTCAGTCTCATATTTGCACACACATATAAAGATGTCTGTCCCCCTTGGTGCCAGTGACAACATCAGAAAACCCATCATATTCAACAATATTCATGACAGTTTACAATCAAGGAAACCTAGGAACCTCGAGGCCATGGAGCTCTCTTCTTTTACTGTTTCTGAGATTCTTGTCTCTCAAGGTATGCAAAGGGCTTCAATCAGAGAATGAAATATGGGGTAGTCCAAGATGTACATCAGAGTATAGCTCCTGGATGGAAGTGGATTATCCTCCAGAAGAATTCCACTTGGATTCATGTGATCTTGCTCAAGTGCCAGGATTGGATGGAAGTCTACACATGCTCACATCCATTCAGAACTCACAAATTGATGATGTCACAAGAGAAGCAACATCAGTACAAGCAGATAGTGGATTGACACGGATAGCAGCTTCAGCTCAATCCAAATTGAGAAAAAGGAAGAACCAAATTCAAAACATTGTGCAGAACAGTGATGGAAACATACTCAAGAAATGGGATATGGAGGTTCCTTCAACCAGGAATCTCAATTTACAAGGAGGTATAAACAAGGTCTCAAGGCCAAGAATACATTCACAATCTCATTGGAAAGTCAGCAGGAGTCCCAGGGCAAAAAACAAATTTTTCCTATTTCAGAAGATTGGAATCCTCAATGCCAATTTGTCTCCAACACTTTGTTACAAGATATTTGAGTCTTTCCTTGAGATATACAAGGCTTTGGAGTTTAAATGTGGAAATAATCCTGAAGCAATCAAAGCCGTAACTCAGGCAGTGAAGAATGCAAGCTATGGGGTTGTTATGGTATTTCTTGGTCTTATAAGGGTCTTTGAGGCTGAAGGCAGCAGGAAGGAAAATCTTGAATTTCTCCTGAATGATGGCTGGGATTATGTGGAAAATTTCTTTCAGAACTGGAAGAATGCAGAACTCAAAGATTTTGCATTGAGGGAACATACTAAATTTGTATCACAAAATGCATCCAATCCTTATTTCTACCTGAGGTATTTGAAGGGAATTGATAATCCTAACAAAGTATCTTTCTCACTGGTTTATTTACTTGCCTTAGATTGGTCACAAAGGAGAGGAACACCTGGCATACCTGGAGATGGAGTATCTCAGCATATACAAAGACTTGTGGATGTATATGAAGCTGATTCAAACTCAATTCAAGGTGGTCTTTATGGAAGGATAGGTATCAGGAACCATGCATTCTGGGGAGTAGAACAGTTTTCAAGACAATATTGGTATTCATATGGAGATACCACCAAACCACCACAAGATGTCTTGTTATTGAGTTCAAATGCTGCACAGTTTCATACCCCCATTGGCAGAGAAATGTGCAGAGCTGTTCATATTTTCTTTGAAGACCTGATCAGGGATTTGAATCAGAAATACTTGACAATGAATGGACATCCCCATCTAGAAGATGTACCACCTGAAGTGGTCCAAGATATGAACATCATAACAAAATCTGTCAGCATGGCAGAGTACAAAGTTACTGTTGTGGTACTTGGTATGATCAGGATTCTGAACAAAGAACACTTGACTGAATCCCAACTTGAGAGATTGATAAACCATGCATGGAACTTTCTCAAGAAGCAGTTTTCTGAATGGAAGTTGTTAGATTTTTGTACAAAAGATTCTCAACACCTCTTCAACTACGATTCTGTGCATCTTCAGTATGGCACCCAAGTTGATAGTCCTGAAGCTCTTTTTCTTGGGCTTGGTGGGTTCAAAAGCAAGAATTACTTTCCAAAGCGGTGTATTGCTTATTTGTTTAATTTGTGGAGGAATTTAGTAACTCAAATTATGCCCGGTTCACAGGAATACATAGAAACTCCAGCTGCAATTCAAGACAGCCCTTCAGGAAGCATAGAAAAATGGAACTTATTGCTTAGAAGTCATAATCACATTTATCAATCACTTGGCATGAATTCACTTCATAGAACAGATGGAGACACCTGAGCTTCTGAAGGTCCAAATTGTCCATGGGACTGCCATCAGTCAAAGTGTCATCATATTTCACTTGAGAGGATACAGAATATTATATATGCATACATCAAGCCTTTTACTTAATTTCCACTCAGTAATTATGTGTTTTGACTGAATGTGTGCAACTGAATCATAATTTATGTGAAGACTGTAGCTTCAACTATCTTAAAAGACCTGGAGTCTGCATTTCCACAGGACAAGCCACAACACATCATTTCAGTGGGGGGGGTGGAGACAGAATGCATTTTACCAGTGCCAATTTTCTGAGAGAAAACACACAAGACACTTTTTGAAGAAGTATTAGAGCTAAGCAATACATTGTCTTCCATTAAAGAATTTTTTCCTTGTCTGGTATCATACTTTTCCTCATTATCTTGTCCTTTCATTGGATGAATCCTGATAACTTTATATTCCCCTGGATTTAAATGAATATGTGAGGTTTTCACCCTCACCAAGACTACGTCTGTCAGTTAAAGCACCTGATTATTTCAATGGAGCAACAAACCAGTTGATATGTAAAGGTTCCCAACTAGAGAAATCTGGGATATGACCAGAGCTGGAAGATATTATTGCTTGTTGTGACATATGATCAGGTCCTCAGCAGTGGATCACAGGAAAGAAGATGTTGCTCTGGTGTTTTACTGTACATCTTGACAGCATCACATTTCCTTGGAGCATGGTATTGTTTGTAGTCACTCACAGTATGTCTTCATTGCTTGTGGTTGAGTTTCCAATGCATCATATGGCTATGCTTTTCCGCATGGTTGGAGTTTATCCAACCTCTGCCAATTCCCATAAATCTTCTGAGTTTGTCTTGACTGAGCACAAAAAAGCTGTCACTTGCCTATCCTTTTGTGCCCATCTCAAGCAGAAGCCACAATCCCCTTCAGCGATTAAAAAGTTCATATGGTAGTCATGCTTGGATGGAATGTGTAGGTGTCTTGACAGCTTCAAAATTGTGTGTTACAGGGGACCTTCTTATGGCCCTAGACTAAATTACTGTTGCTGTCTCTTGCTTATATCTTGCTAGTCTACTCACTTTATTCGGAATTCAAAAACACGAGGCAATCAGATTTGCCCAGTGACTCAATGGATGGTCCACAGAAGAGACCACCAGACTGTCACCCATTTGGAGATGAATGGCCAACTGAATGTTGGTCAAAGCAAATCAATAATACGACAGCTGAATATTACTTCACTGAGTATGTGTGGTATATGTCATCAACTACAACATCCTTCAAAAGCAAAACACTGGTGATACAATACCCACCTAAAGATACTCAATTCAATATCATTTATCTTGTTCACCATTAAGGTTCATAGCTATAGGCGATCCTGGACGCGAAGCGTATCCAGTCCAGCTCTAATCGTAGAGTGTAACCTTGGCCTGATCACTACCTGAGCAAATCTGGATCGCTAACCAAATAATACAGGCTGTCATGCCACTCCCACAACTGGCAACCAATTGTTTTTCTCCTTGTTTGACTGCTTCCCAGCGCTCAGCTGAACCAAAAGTGGATGTGAAGACTTCTTCCAGCTTCTCGGGTGATAAAGAGGTGCGGTAACCTTCTTTGTGTGTAGCCAAGAGTTCTGAGAATGGTAGAGAGAGTGAACCTGGAATGTGCCCACTCGATAAACTGGCCCTCGGCTCAGGTGCTGTACCCTCAAACCTGTGATGTGAGCAAGCCGTACCACCGAATAGAATCAACTTCTTTAATTGGTGCAAAGTTCAATCATGGGGCGGATGATTGAGTCCACTAACCTTGGGCGGGTTTGAGCATTGAGGATTTCCATGCGTTGATCTGTGATGTTAGTAATGATATCGTCGTAACTGGTCACATATTGTTTCCCTTCATAATCCTCATGATTTGCTATAAGTTGATAATCTGATTTTTTAACCGGACTTGGAGGCCCAGAGTCTGTTGGTAAGCCTTCAGCGATCCAAAGCGGAAGGCCACCGTCAAGAACTG